TGGAGGGCTCACTGTAGGTGTTTTGGGGGGGGGGTTGTCCCAGTGTTTTTGGGGGGTCACTGTAGGTGTTTGGGGGGGGGGGTTGTCCCAGTGTTTTTGGGGGGTCACTCACGTCCCGTCCTCGTTGCTCCGGTAGAACACCAGGAAGGGGTCGGATTTTCCAAAGAAATCCTTCTTGTCCAACTTGTTGGCACAAAACTGGAGCGTGGCCACGTCCTGGGCGGGGGGAATTTTGGGGGGGCTTTTATTTGGGGGGTGAATCTCTTTTAGGGGCAGGTTTTTTTTTGGGGGGAGGGCTGGATTTTAGGGGGCCTTACTTTTTTTGGGGGGATGAATCTTTTGGGGGCTTTTTCGAGGGGGGGCAGGAACAGCTTCTTCTTAAGGGACTGGATTTTGGGGTTTTTCTTTATTTAGGGGAGGCTTTTTGGGGGGGTGAATCTCTTTTTGGGGCAGGTTTTTTGGGGGGGCAGAGCTGGATTTTGGGGGGCTTTTATTTAGGAGGAACTTGTTTTTTTGGGAGGGGTGATTCTCTTTTTGGGGCTGTTTTTTTTGGGAGGAACATCTTTTTAAGAGTCTGGATTTTGGGGGGCTTTTATTGGGGGGGGACTTGTTTTTTTTTGGGAGTGAATCTCTTTTAGGGGCAGGGTTTTTTTGGCTGGGAGGGCTTCATTTTGGGGTTGGACTTACTTTTTCTTGGAGGGTGGAGGTGAATCTTTTGGGGGCTTTTTGGGGTGGGGGTAGGACCAGCTTCTTTTTAAGGGGCTGGATTTTTGGGGACACTTTTTTTTTTGGGGGGGGGAGAAGCAAAACCCGTGGTTTTGGGGGTCCCAAAACTGTCCCGTCGTCCCCCCCCCCCAATCCCAAAATCCCCCCTGGGCTCACCCGGCAGTTTCCCAACTCTTCGGCCACGAGGATGATGGTCCCGCATTTCCTCCCGGGAATTCCGCTGCCGGGATGGGATGTGAGGGGGGAGGGGACACGTGGGGACCTCGGGGTGTCCTCCCCCCCGCTGGAGACCCCAAAACTCACCCGCTGGCAGAGGCAGGAGCGGGTTTTCTACCCCGGGAGTGGGGGGTGGTCGTGCCCATCCTGGGGGGGGAGGGCGGGTGAGGGAGGGGAACCCCCCCGAGAAAAAAGCCCTCCCGTGCCCAAAAATGTAAGTCCCCTCCAAAAATAAACATCCCCCTTCCCAAAATCCAGCCCCTTAAAAAGAAGCTGTTCCTGCCCCCCACAAAAACCCAGCCCCTAAAGAGATTCACCCCCCCAAAAAATCAAGTCTCCCCTAAATAAAACAGGCCCCCCCAAAAGCCAACCCCCCAAAAAAATCAGACACCCCCAAAAGATTCAACCCTAAAAAAGCAAAGTCCCCCCAAAAAACCAACCTCTCCAAAAAGACAGACCCCCAAAAAACTCAGACCCCCAAAAAATCCAACCCCCACAAAAGATGCACCCCCCCAAAAAGCAAATCACCCCAAATAAAACAGCCCCCCCAAAAGCCAACCCCCCAAAAAAAACCTAACCCTCCCAAAAGCCAGACTCCTAAAAACTCAGACCCCCCAAAAAATCCAACTCCCCCAAAAATTCAGATCCCCCCCCCCAAAAAAAATCCAGACCCCCCCAAAAAGATTCACCCCCCAAAAAAGCCCGGGGGGCCTCAGGGGGCACAAGGGGACACGGGGACAGGGGGACATGGGGATGGGGGGGGGACATGGGGACACTGGACCCAGGGGGGGTCACATGGGGGTTTGTCTGGGGGGTGGTGACATGAAGACCCTTGGGGACAGTGGGGCCATGGGGACACTGGGGATAGGAGGGGTCACATCCAAGGGGGACACGGGGACACAGGGACACAGTGACATTGGGGACAGGGGGACACGGTGACCCTGGGGACAGGGGGACACGGTGACCTTGGGGACAGGGGGACACGGTGACATTGGGGACGGGGGGTCTCACGTGAGGGGTCTCTCCAGGCGGCCGCCGGCAGCGCCCACGATCTCACCCAGGGTGCAGAAGGCCTGGCCCAGGAAATCCTGGGGATTGGGGACACCAGGGGACACCAGGGGGTCACCAGGGTCACCAGGGGTCACTGAGGTCACCGGGGGTCACCAGGGTCACCGGGGTGTCCCCGTCCCGGGGGGGGTCAGGGGGGGTCCTTCACTCACGTGCTTGGAGAGGTCGGGGCTCTTGGAGTCCACGTCGTACCTGGGGACACAGGGGACACGTGGGGACATGTGGGGACGGGGGGGACACAGGGGACATGTGGGGACACAGGGGACACAGGGGACACAGGGGACACAGGGGACATGTGGGGACATGTGGGGACGGGGGGACAGGGATGGGACACTGCAGGGGCTGTGCTGGGTTGACCCTTGGGTGACATTGGGGGTGACCTTGGGGGTGACACGGGAGTGCCAGGGGCACTGGAGGTAACATTGGGGTGGCCCTGGGGGTGACCCTGGGACCAGGGGGTGACACAGGGGTGACAATGGGGTGACCCAGGGGTGCCCAGGGGTGCCACGGGCACTGGAGGTGACACTGGAGTGACCTGGGGGTAACACAGGGGTGACCTGGGGGTGTTGGGGGTGCTGGGGGTGGCACTGAGGGTGACACTGAGGGTGACACAGGGGTGACCCAGGGGTGACCCGGGGGTGCCTGGGGTTGCCGAGGGCACTGGGGATGACACTGGGGTGACACTGGGGTGACACTCACAGGTCGAAGCGCAGGTTCTGCCGCTCCTCGAAGCAGAAATCCAGCACGAACTTCCGCAGGAAATCGGGATTCAGGGAATTGTCGATGACCTCGGTCCGGCCAAACTGGGGACAAGGGGACAGCGGGGGGGACAGGGAGACAGAGTGGGACAGAGGACATGGGGCGACAGCAGGGACAGAGGGGGGACAGGGGACGTGGAGACACAGGGACACAGAGACATGAGTACATGGGAATACAGGGACATGGGGACACAGGGACATGGGGACACAGGGACATGGGGACATGAGGATATGGAGACATGGGGACACAGAGATATGGGCACACGGGGACATTGTGACATGGAGATGGGGCCATGGGGGCACATTCATGTGGGACACGGGGATGAGGACACGGGGACACAGGGACATGGGGACACGGGAATGGGGACCAGGAACATGGGGACACAGGGATGTGGGGACATGTAGTTATGGGGACACAGGGACATGGGAACATGGGGACATGAGGACATGGAGATGTGGGGTTGGGGACTTGGAGACACGTTCATATGGGACATGGGGATGAGGACATGGGGACATGGAGACAAGGGAATGGGGACCAGGAACATGGAGATGTGGGGATGGGGACATGGGGACAGGGACATTGGGAAATGGGGACACGAGGATATGGGGACATGGGGACGTGGAGACACAGGGACACGTGCACAGGGGGTTGGGGACACGGGGACATGTGCATGGGGGTCGGGCCGTGTGGGCGGGGTGGGCGGGCGGGGGGGGGGGGGGGGGGGGGGGGGGGGGGGGGGGGGGGGGGGGGGGGGGGGGCAGGGGGGGGGGGGAGGGGCCGCCGCAGGTGCCGCTTTGTGCCTGCGGGGCCGCCCCTCCCCCCGCCCCGCCCCCCGCTTCTCACCCCGCAATTAACACCTGCCTAATTACGGGGGCGGCGCCATGCATGCTGATTGGCTGGCTGGACGTGTGCCCGCAGCTGATTGGCTGCCCCGCACCCCAAAACTCCCCAGGATGCTGATTGGCTGCCTGCCTGCGCCCCAGGATGCTGATTGGTCGGCTGTGTGAACCCCATCGTGCTGATTGGTCGGCTCTGCGCATCCCAGGACACATTGCTTGCTGCCGATTGGCCAACTGTTTGGCACCCCAACACCTGATTGGCTGGTTGGTCAACACCCCGCTGTGCTGATTGGTTGGCACCCCAGCACTCTGATTGGCCAGAACCCCACGTGACGATTGGTCACTTGGCCCAGCCCCCCAATACTTGATTGGTTGGTTGGCCAACACCCCAACGTGCTGATTGGTCAGCACCGCAGAGATCTGATTGGCCGCGGGCTGGTGCCCAACATGCTGACTGGTCAGAACCTAGTCTGCTGATTGGCCGGCCCGCAGGCACCCCACATGCTGATTGGCTGTCTGGTTGGCGTGGCCGCTGCTGATTGGTCACTGCCCCGACATGCTGGTGATTGATTGGCCAGCCAGCACCTGAGGTGCTGATTGGTTGGCTGAGTGCCCCCCCCCCCCCCCCATGCTCTGATTGGTTGTCCGAGTGCCCCCCGAGGTGCTGATTGGCCGCCCTCCCACCAATCAGGGCACTCACCTCCCGCCATTGGTGGCTGCCTGGGCGCTGCGTGTACAGCACACACACTGCGGGGAATGGGGGTCGGAGGGACCCAAAACACCCCGAACACCCCAAAATACACACCCCAAAACACCCCCAGGGACCCCAAAACACCCAAACCCACCCCAGAACACCCTTAGGGACCCAGAAAACATCCCCAGGGATCCCCCCAAACACCCCCCAAACACACCCCATCCCGAGACACCGACATCCCCAGAGACCCCCCCAGAACCCCCCAGGGACCCCATAGAACCCCTCAGGGACCCCCAACACAACCCCAGGGACCCCCAAAAACCCCCCAGAGATCCCCCAACACCCCCAGAGATCCCCAAAATATCCCCAGAGACACCAAAACACCCCCAGAGAACCCTAAACCACCCCCCAGAGACACCAACACCCTCCAGGGACCCCCAAAGCACCCCCTGAGCCCCCCCCCGCCCACCCCACTCACGGGGGTCCGACTTGGAGAAGGTGTCCCGGTCTAGGAGCTGTCTGGGGGAGGGAGAGGGAGTGTGAGTGTGAGCTGAGTGTGAGTGTGAGTGTGAGATGAGTGTGAGTGTGTGAGTGTGAGCTGAGTGTGATCTGAGGGAGATAATGGGATTGTGAGTGTGTAAGTGTGAGCTGAGTGTGTGTGAGTGTGAGGGTGTGTGTGATTGGAATGTGAGTGCGAGTGTGAGTTAGAATGAGTGTGAGTGTGAGCAAGTGTGAGCGTGAGAGTGTGAGTTAGAATGAGTGTGTGAGCGTGAGAGTGTGATCTGAGTATGAGTGTGAGCTGAGTGTGAGTTGAGTGTGTGAGAGTGTGAGTTAGAATGAGTGTGTGAGCGTGAGAGTGTGATCTGAGTGTGAGCTGAGTGTGAGAGTGTGAGTTAGAATCACTGTATGTGACTGTGTGATCTGAGTGTGTGTGTGTGTGATCAGCGTGAGGGAGAGCTGAGTGTGAGTGTGAGTGAGAGTATGAGGGGGTGTGTGTGTGAGAGAGAGTGTGGGTGTGAGCGTGTGATCAGTGTGAGTGTGAGAGAGAGGAAGTGTGAGAGTGTGATCTGAGTGTGTGAGTGTGAGATCCGAGTGTGAGTGGGAGGGTGTGCGTGTGTTGTGTGTGTGAGTGAATGTGAGTGTGATCTGAGTGTGTGAGTGTGAGCTGGCTGTGCCCAGGGCTGTGCCCGGGGCTGTGTGTCCATGCCCAGGTGTGGCACTCACACACACCAGGGGCACAGGGGGTGTTGGGGGGCACAGCCGGGTCTTGGGGGGCACGTGTTGGGCTGCCATGTGTTGGGGGGCACAGCCGTGTGCCAGGACACCCCCGCAGGGCCTTGGGATGCAGAGAGGGGACGTGGGGGGTGCAGGGGGCACTGGGGGGGGGTCAGGAGGTTCAGCCCCTCTGGGGGGGGTCGGGCCCATGACACCCCCCAGCCACCCGGTTTTGGTACTGCCCCCAGTGCCCCCAGTGCCACCTAGTACACCCAGTGCCCCCAGTGCCCCCCAGTGTCCCCCACTTGGCCCAGTGCCCCCCCGTACTCCCAGTGCCCCCCACTGCCTCCTAGTGCCCTCCAGTGCCTCCTAGTATCTCCAGTGCCCCCCAGTACCACCCAGTCCTCCCAGTGCCCCCAGTGCTCCTCAGTGCTCCCCACTCCGCCCAGTGTCCCCAGTGCTCCCCAATTCCTCCCAGTGTCCCCCAGTGCCATATAACGCCGGCTGTCCCTGCTCCCAGTGCCTCCCAGTGCTTCCCAGGGGATCCCAGTGCTTTCCAGCACCCTCCAAAGCCGACTCCCGCCGCTCCCAGTGCACCCCAGTGCCTCCCAGTGCTTCCCGGCGCCTCCCAGCACCCTCCAACGCTGGCTACGCCTGCACCCCAGTGCCTCCCAAGGGATCCCAGTGCCTCCCAAGGGATCCCAGTGCCTCCCAGCACCCTCCAACGCCGGCTGCTGACGCTCCCCAGTGCTTTCCAGTGCCTCCCAGTGCCTCCCAGTGCCTATTGGTGCACCCCAGGGGATTTCAGCGCCTCCCGGTGCATCCCAGCACCCTCCAGCGCCGGCTGCTGACGCTCCCCAGTGCCATCCAGGGGATCCCAGTGCTTCCCAGTGCCTCCCAGCACCCTCCAACGCCACCTGCCGCTGCACCTCAACGCACCCCAGTGCCTCCCAGTGCCTCCCAGTGCATCCCAGTGCCTCCTAGTACATCCCAGGAGATTTCAGTGCCTCCCGGTGCATCCCAGCACGCTCCAGCGCCAGCTACGCCCGCACTCCAGTATCTCCCAGTGCCTCCCAGTGCCCCTGGTACCTGCAGGACACGGTGATCTCCACGCGGGTGGCCGGGACGGGGCCGGGGCCGGTGCCCGGTTCCAGGGAGCCCAGGCCCGCCATGCCCCGGCTCCGCCGCTGCCCCGGCACCGGGATCGGGATCGGGATCGGCTCCGCCCCGGGACCGCCCCCGGCACCGCCCGCGGCTCCGGCCCCGACCCCGCACCGAGGGGCTGCCCCGGGGGCTCCTTCGGGACCGGCCCCCCGATCGCCGGCACCGCCCCGGGGATCGCCCCCAAATCCCCGGGATCGCCCCCAGATCCCCGGCACCGCCCCGGGGATCGCCCCCAAATCCCCGGGATCGCCCCCAGATCCCCGGCACCGCCCCNCCCCAAATCCCCGGGATCGCCCCCAGATCCCCGGCACCGCCCCGGGGATCGCCCCCAAATCCCCGGGATCGCCCCCAGATCCCCGGCACCGCCCCCAGGATCGCCCCCAGATCCCCGGGATCGCCCCCAAATCCCCAGCACCGCCCCCGGGATCGCCCCCGGATCCCCGGGATCGCCCCCGGCACCGCCCCCGGGGCCGCCTCCCCATCCCTGCTACCCCTTGGACTCCCGGTACCACCTCCGGTACCCCCCGGGATCAGCCCCGGTACCGACCCCGGATCACCCCCAGACCCCGGTACCCCCCAAATGCCGGTACCACCCCCCCAAACACCCCTGGACCTCAGGACCTGCCGGAACCCCGGGATCACCCCCAGACTCCCGGTACTCCCTGGTACCCCCCGGTACCCCCCGGCTCACCCCCAGACCCATGGGCAGGAAGAGCTTTCTGTGTGGGCACCTTTTGTCTGGGAGGAACCTCCGTCCGTGTTCAATTTTGGGGGTGGGACCGGCAGTTTCAGCGCAGGGCTCCAAAAACAAACCTCGGCCCTTTCTCCCCTTTCTCCCAGGAGTGAAAACCTGTCATTTTTGGCTGTCAGGTGCAGTTTGTGGGCCACCCTGGGCACTCTGTGGGCAGCAAGAGCTTTCTGGCCTGGCACCTTTTGTCTGGGAGGAACCTCCGTCCGTGTTCAATTTTGGGGGTGGGACCGGCAGTTTCAGCGCAGGGCTCCAAAAACAAACCTCGGCCCTTTCTCCCCTTTCTCCCAGGAGTGAAAACCTGTCATTTTTGGCTGTCAGGTGCAGTTTGTGGGCCACCCTGGGCACTCTGTGGGGATCTGGACCTTTCTGTCCTGGCACCTTCTGTCTGGAAGGAATCTTTGTCCGTGTTCAGTTTTGGGAGCCCCACATGGAATTTTAGTGTGTACGTTTAACTGCCCTATCCCAACCCACCAGTTGTTTTTTCCAGCTCACTCTCTCCCCTGTCTGGCTGGGAAAGGGAGGGATAGAGTGGCTGGGTGGGCACCTGGCCTCCAGCCAAGGTCAACCCACCACAAGTCCTTAAATTTTGTAACTTTGAAATCCTTACCTAAACCCTGCTAAAAAAATAGAGAGTAAAAATTAAGGAGGTCAGCAACCTGTGCAGCTGGAGCTTGGATTAGTTTTGGAGACTGTTACACTCTAAAGAGGTAAATCAATAAATCCTGTAATGATAAGATATGAAGACACACTCTGGAGAGCTAAATCAATCAAAGATTAAGTGGAAGTTTAAGTTATCTTCACCTAAAAATTGATGTTGAGGTCTCGTAGCAATAAAATATGAAACTGTTTCAAAGATTGTTTAAGTAAAAGAAGTCTAGGTTACCTTTAACTAAAGATTAATGTTGTAAGAATAAAATGATTGACTGTCAAGGAGAGGCTTGAGATGTTAAAGGGAGTAAAAGCTCACGAAATCCTTGTTTCAGTGGAGTGTTTATGGAAGAGTTATTCCCAACATTACAGGGCTTAACAGTATCAAGGTGTTGAGTTTGATTTCTTTGAATCAAGGTGTGAAAACTGCAGCAGACAGGGGCTGGCATTCAGGAGCTGCCCGGGCTGCCCCCTCCAAAAGAAACACGTACTCGTGGTAGATTTTACTGAATTATGGTTTAATTTCAATAATCTCCAGTTTGTCTGTACAATGTTGTACAAAACGTAACCAAAGGGAACATTTCAGCCCCACGGGAGGGTTTGGTTGTCTGAGGATCCAGGGAATTGGAGTCTCTGATCTGTTCTCTCCTGTCTCCTGGATGCTGTCACAGCAGTACCTTAGGTGCTCAGGCTGTCACACCTCCCTGCACTCCCCAGAACATTTTGCTTTCCAGTCTCCCCCTCTCAGTGGTGGAATCCCCCCACCGTAGCAGGAGGTGTCTGCTGGTAACTCTTATTTCTGCTCAGACATGAAAGGTTTTTAAGGTCTTTTTGCACCAGGCAGAACCATCCCAGCGGTGCCACCAGCCAGGGGCAGTGAGGGTGCAGAGGTGACACTGGGGTGGCAGTTCAGGGCTGGCACAGCCGTGGGGCTGCTCTGCTCACGCTGCCACAGCTGGGGCAGATTGGAATTCCAGTCCTCCCCAGCAGGGCATTTGCACTGTGAGTGCCACCTCCTCCATGCCAGCCTGGTCTGAGAGTTTATCTCTCACCCAGATCGAAATGAGCAGGCAGACGTTCTCTTTAACAACAACATACTGAGCTGCTACTGGCAGGGCAAGACATGCTTTTCCCAGAGTTAGGAGACCTGCTGAGAATCCAGTGGAATCCAAAGGGGTTGTTTTGGCTTAGAAAACCACATGGGAAAGGCCAACTCCAGAGATCTCTGGTGGCCAGAAATGTCCCTGTTGCAGCCTGACAGCAGGTGAGGGCTGTGCTGGGATGGTCTCTGCTGCCTGTGCTCTCCATGGAAAGTTTCATTTTGGCCAACTATTTTTCCTCTCATCTTCTGTGTTCCCAAAGCTTCTAATGTGTGTTTTAAAGGTTTAGTGGAAAGCCATGATCATTACAAAAATAAAAATACAATTCTTTTGAAACATTTTCCCCCTGATTTTGACTAAAATGCAGTGTCGTGTTCAAAATGCAATTACTGGGTGTGAAAAATAAATCCCTTGGGCTCCAGTGAACATCTGAAAATAAATGCACAGGCTTAGGATGGACCAGTCCTCACTGAAACCTTCTCATCCACAGAGCAGGGCAGGGATGTTCTCGGCAGGGTCAAGCTACAGGGCGGAGTCTGGAAATGAGAGAAAGAGAAGTGGCTCAGTGTTGTGATGAAGGAGATGATAAATAGCCTGAAAAGGCTCCCTGGAAAGGGGGAGCTGAAAACTTACAGGGCCAAAAAGACCAGTGTCAGCAAAAGGATGACAGGGATGGTGCCTGTGGGTCCCTTCCAACTTGGAATATTCTGGGAAATCTGGGAAATCTGGGGGTTTAACTGACCCGTTTCTCCACTCGTGTCATCCCACTGAGGGGTTTTGCATTAAAAGGAAAATATTTGACTCAAAAGAAAGGATATTTCACTAGGTACAATCACCAGCAATATTGATCCATAAGTTTATCCATCCTTAGTCAATCCTACTTCTCCTCCATTCCCATCAGGATCCCAGTGGCCCTCACCATGTCCCTCCCTTTCCTCCCTTCCCATTGCCTTTGGCCACCAAACCTTCCTTGTTCCCTCACTGCTCCCCCGCCACTTGCACATCTGCAGGATCTTTATTCTGCAGCTCCTGGACTGGGGATAAACCCAACCAAGATATTACCTCTTATCCAAGGAAAATGGGATTGTTCTTTCTAAAAAATTTGATCAGAGCCAACCCAAACCTCTGTCTCACATAGAAACCGAGTGGTTTTTTTCACATCTGCCTTTCAGTTCTGTTCCATTCTTGATCACTAAAAAGGTAATCAGGAGTTCAATAAAGCAGGAGGCTGCACTTGGCAGCAGGTAGAGCTGCATGGGACCATTTTTGGGGACCTGGGCAGCAAGGACACCCCTTGGCATCCCCCAGGGGAGGAAGAGCACTGTGGATTTTACCTTTGATGGCGAGGAAGGCTCTGCTGGAGACACGACCCACTTCATTGGAGGCTTCCACCATGTATTCTCCTGCGTCCTGCTTGGTGACCCCCAGGATGACCAGGGAGCAGACTCCAAAGTCGTTTGTGCAGAAGTAGTTTGGATCCTTGGAGAGGTCTCTGTTGTCTTTGTACCAGGTGACTTTTGGGGGGGGGTGGCCCCCCACTGCACAGCTCATGTGACACTCACTGCCTGTCACCACCACGTGGGGCTTCAGCGGGACGAGGAACCTCGGGTGCTGGTTTTGGTTGACTCCCCTGTACCTCTGGGGTCTGACCCAGATCTCAGCTGTAAAAAACAAACAGCGACACATGAACACACCCTCAGGTCCAGCTCCCAGCAGGGAAGTTTGCAGGGCTGGTTTTCAGTCAGACACTCGGATGCCAAGAGCCTGGAATTCCACACTGCAATTCCCAGAGATCCTGTGCACCCATGGACTGTAACCTGTGCTGCTTCTCACGTGATCCTGGATTTCACTTTGGAGCCACAAACTTTGGTTTCTGCGACATTTAATAGGTTTTTCCAGGAATTTGTTTTGTGGCAGATTGCCACAATATAAGGGCTGGGAGTGAAGGGACTCTCTGCACAATGTCCCTGCAGAAAGGACAAAACTGGAATTCCTCAGGGTACCTCTAGGCATTCCTGTTCTGGGCAACTAAACATTCCTAGGAGGAGGGACTCATTTCAGGATGGGGTGTTAGAAACAATAAAAGAAACCAAGCACGACAACACACACAGAGAAACATCTGTAAAAGCTGGTTTACCCTTTGCTTTTCGAATCCTCCAAGGCTGCACGGTTTCAGATGGAGCACTGGCTCCCAGGCTGTTCTTGGCCACCACCCTGAAGTAATAATCCCTGCCTGGGATCACGCTGGTGAACGTGAACTTGTTGTTGTAGAGCAGGTCCCCCACCACGCGCCACACGCCCTTCTGGGACTCCCGTTTCAGGACAGTGTAGTAGAGGTTCTTCTCCCACTTCTCAGATGCTGACGGTTCCCAGGTCACTGTCACTGTGTTGGGCACATTCTCTTCCAACCTCAGTGGTCCAGGAGGCTGTGGGATGTCTGTGAGGGGAGGGCAAATAATGTCACAGGCGTAGGGACAGTGGCACAGTACAGAACCCTAAAAACTTGGAGTCTATCCCATGGGGGCTCAGTAAAGATCCCGATCATTGGAAGGGGCAAATTTGATTCCTTCTCCAGCCACACAAACGCTTTTGCCATGAACTGAGCTGCTGCTGCAGAACATGGGCATTGCAGGGAGGAGAGGAGGGTGACAGAGCTGAGCTGCTGCTTCCCCTCCTGGGGACACAGCTCTGAGAGCTGATCCAGCTGGGGCTCCGTGTCCCACAGCCTGTGCTGACCCCCTCAGGCTCTTCCAGAGAGCAGGAACTGCTCCTGGGGTTTGCAGTGTCTGTGTTTGGGACCTGGGCTGGCCCTTTCCAGCAGAGTCACTCTGGAAGTAGAGTTTTAGTCAGTGGATTGCTCTATCCTGCAGACCAGTGATATCATGAAGTGTCCAGACTGAATCCCATGGAAAGTTGTTCCCTAGTTATCCCTGTGCCTGAATGGCCAAACTGCACCACAGCTCACCCTGCCCAACTCAGCTTGGTGCCTGCTGCCTGTTCCCAGTAAATCACAGAATCCCAGACTGGTTTGGGTTGGAGGGACCTTAAAACTCATCTCATTCCACCCCTGCCATGGGCAGGGACACCTTCTGCTATCCCAGGTTGCTCCAACCTGGCCTTGGACACTTCCAGGGATGGGGCAGCCACAGTTTCTCTGGGCAACCTGTGCCAGGGCCTCCCCACCCTCCCAGGGAAAGATTCCTTCCCAATATCCCATCCATCCCATCCCTCTGGCAGTGGGAAGCCATTCCCTGTGTCCTGTCCCTCCATCCCTTGTCCCCAGTCCCTCTCCAGCTCTCCAGCTCTCCTGGAGCCCCTTTAGGCCCTGGAAGGGGCTCCAAGGTCTCCCTGGACCCTTCTCTTCTCCAGGGGAACATTCCCAGCTCTCCCAGCCTGGCTCCAGAGCAGAGGGGCTCCAGCCCTGGAGCATCCCTGTGGCCTCCTCTGGACTCTCCAGCAGCTCCACGTCCTCCTGCTGTTGTTCCCAGGGCTGGAGACAGCTCTGCAGGGGGGTCTCACCTGAGGAGGCAGAAGGGCAGGATCCCCCTCCCCTGATGCCCACCATCCCTGTGGGACCAGCCCAGGGCATGGGGGGTTCTGGGCTGGGTCATGTCCAACCTCTCCCCCACCAACACCCCACGTCCTTCCCCTCGGGGCTGCTCCCAGTCCCTTCCCCCCAGCCTGGACTGACACTGGGAGTGCCTGGTGCCCACAGATGGCAGGAGTTACCTGTGATTTGCACCTGGAAGCTGAAGGTCTCTCTCTTGCCCAGCCCGTTGAGCAGTTCCACGCTGTAGCAGCCGCTGTCCCCGAGCTCAGCAGCCCCGATCAGCAGCCGGGTGGATCCATCCTGGGTTTTTATGGCAGCCCGGTCGGGAAGGGGGAGCCCATCCTTCAACCAGAGCACCGCCGGCTCGGGAGAGCCCTGGAAAGAACAGCACGAGTCACAGCCCACCTGCTTCACCTCCAGATCGTGTCTGTACGTCTGTGCTTTCCTTATCTCATCCCAAAGATGTTCCTGCACCACACAGTGAAGTCATGTCCAGGGTACGGTCCCGAGATGGACCCAAGAGCCCTGATGTGCTCTGACCTTCCTTTGGAACTGTTTTCTTTCTCAGTGTCTTTAAAGATGTTTTTGCAGTAAAGTGTTCAGAACTATGTCAGCCAAAGTATTCTGCATCAAGAACAGATGCCATCAGGAATTAATATTTTCTGTTTTTTAAAAGAAGATCTGTTGGGTTTGGAAAGAAAAAACATCCTCAAAGCCTTTATTTCCCTTGTGCCATCTTCGGCCTCAGTTGTCCCAGAGATCAGGAGAAAGGTCAGCATATATCATATATATGTATTATATTACATAATATTATATAATTATATATAATTTTTATATATAATAAATATATAATACATAATATTATACAATATAAATATTTTAATATATAATATATAATATATTTATATAGTTAATATATAATATTAGTATATAATTAATATAATATACTATTATTATATTAATTAAATCAATATATTAATATAGTAATTAAAATTAATATATAATCGCATATAATATAAATATATAGTATAATATTAATATATAGTATTATATATAATATATATTGTTTATTTAATATTTATATTTTATAATACTATTTATTCCTATATAATTATATATATGCTAGTAAAATTTATTTAATCTATTATAATATATAAATATAATATTTAATATAAATGTTAACTAGAAATATATAATATAAAAATTAATGATTTTTACAGTCTGGCAGAGCAGCAGTGGATGCTGACAGCGTTGCTGAGGTTGGATGGACAGCTCTGTGCCTCGTTTGCAGAGGTTAATGAATGCCCACAACCTCGTAAAACACCGATGCCAACAAGCAACAGCTGAATTCTGCCACCGTTTTCCTCGCCCAGAAAGCACACCCAGCACAGGCAGCCAAAGGATTTGCCCGCTGTCTCGTAAACTGAATTCCATGGCAAGAAAACAGTGGCTCAGTTTTCACGTCTGCCCCCGACTCCCAGCACAGGAACAGGCAGGGAATTCCCCAATCCATGGAACACGTACCTCGAAGGGAATATTCACCCGGATGGGGCTTCCTGCTCTTACCACCAGGAGGTTTTTCACCGTGTCGTCGATCAGTAACCTGGGGGGAACTGGTAAACACAGGGCTTACGCTCAATAGTTGGACATTTACACCTTTCAAATTCCACTGCTATTTATTTATCACTGCGGGCAAAGGAGGGGAAATGACATAAAAATACATTCACAGCAATGTCTGTGTTCGTGTGATGTCTGAATCATGGAGAAATTGGCCCTTTGACACTCTTCATCCCATCACAGGGATGATCTTTGGTGTTTAAATGGTGTCTGGAGACAAGGAAATTCCGACGGACACTTACAAATTACATGTTCAATACAGAGCACAGAAAACCCACAGGAAACCAGCCAGAGTTTATTTCAAATAATATTATTTTAGTATTCAAAATATATATTTTTTTAACCAATATAATATACTATTGTATTTAGTATTTTTCTTTAAATGCCAAATATAATAGTGTTAAATTATAGTTAGTGTTTCCACTACAGAACTTAAAAACCTGCTTCCCAGATGGACTTATTTTACCTATTTACTGATTGATTATAAAAGGAGTCTCCAGGCATAGACCAAAAGTAGACAATTTCCCTTAGGCCCCAAGTTAAGGAGGATGAATCCCTCACAGAATTATCTCATACTTCTGTAATTCTGCAACATTCCCAAGCAGCAAGGAAAAAAAAAGCAGAGCTACAGATTGTAAATCAAGATGGAAAAGTGGAAATGGTAAAAAACTTTCGAACTAGGCAATTAAGAAGTAAAATAAAGCATCCAAAAACCAATCTAAAAATTGGGATTTAAGGGAATGAAATAAAATGCTTAGTTCCACAAGACTGTGTGAAAAGAGACTGAAAACTCTATTTTCCCTTAAAAGAGGTGGGTAGGGATAAGGGATGTGGGGTTTCTGTTTGGTGACTGTGGTAAGGCTCTGCAAATATAAATATAAAAATATAAATGCAAAGAGAAGAGAGAGTTTTGGGGGTTCTTTTGTCCTAATGAGTCTCCAACATGAGCCGAACGCTGTGCTCTGCACATCTGACATCGGGTAAATATTCAGAATTTCCTGGTGATGTGACCAGGTAACAGCAGAGCGCAGGGGAGACACGGAGTGCTCATCATCCTCCTGTCAGTCTGGGGTGTGAAGAAAGCTCATCCCCGTGTCCCACAGCCCTCTGTGCAGCCTGGACCTGGCTCCCCACCAAGGCCCCAAAGATCCACATCGAAATCCCCCCCTTACATGAAGGAAAGGGAAGAGGGGAAAAGGAACCAAAAGACCCGAAATAAACTGAGCTAAAGCAGTATATATATATATATATATTTAAACTTATATACCATTGCAAAAAAACCCATTTACATATTAGAAAGAGAAAACCCCAACACCCCGAAACCCAAACGGAAAAACCGATATAGGCGGATGTACACAGCTAGTAGAGAGCTAGCAAACAAAGGAATCTTCATACTTCCCTTAGGAAAGCAGAACTGCACCACCAGCCATCCCATCCCGAGGGGATGAAGTAACCATCTCCCAGGGCCCACGGCAAACCCCGGGAGCTCAGCGGGGCTGCCCCTCCTCTGCAACCCCAGTGAAGAGCTCTGACCTCTGACTAACTTCCTTCCCCCCTGTAGTAACACTTCTGCTTATGTACAGAAACAGAACGGAATACTGGGATATAGCCACTTTCCCAGTTTCAACCTGGTTGTCAGGAAGGCCTGGACCAAACCATCACCCCCCAGCTGCTCCCGTTCCCCCTGGAAGGAGCCCCCGACTCACCCGCCGGGGCCGCGGCCTCCGCGACGGCCTCGAGCTCCGCGACCTCCCCGGGGCCGCTGTCGTTGAGGGCCCTCACACGCAGAAAATACTTCTCCTTGGGCTGCAGGCCCTTGATGGTGCCCGTGGTGGCCTCTGCAGGGAGGGTGAGGCACTTGGTCCAGCTGGAGCTGTGGGAAGGCCTCATCTCCACCTCGTAGCCCTTCACTTCGTTCCCGTCCTTGACCTCGGGCCTGTTCCACGTCAGAGTGACGCTGGTGCTGTCACAGCTGCTCACTCTGAGCTCCTGCACTTGGCCCGGGGATTCTGGAGAGAGAAATTTTGTTGAAAGTATTTTTTCTAGGATTTCTGTTCCATCTTTTCAGTCACTTCCTGAGATTCCCCGGCGTTCTTGGAGAGCACTGGATACCCACCCTGCTGTCGTGCCCACGCCTCGTCCCGGTTCTTGAAAGGTGGATCTTTGCTCCTGCCAGCCCTGCAGGACAACCCACAACACACCCAACATGGCCTGCAGCCCATCCCGAGTCCTTCACACTGCACAGACCCCACACAGGGTGTCTGCCACACCTTCCCTTGGACATCCCACAGGAAATCCTTCTGCTCCTTCCTCGAGCTCATTCTCAACCCTGAAACATTCCCCAGCTATTTGATCTTTGTCTTCACACACTTTTACAGAGCATTTCAGAAGGTCTGCTCTCCACTAACACCCCCAGTGTGTGTTCAGCTACCCCAGAAGCAGAAGGACAGAGCACTCACTCGTGGGGTCCTGGGCAAAGACGGGCGGGGAGGGGTCGCTGGCATCTCCTGTGCCAGCAGCATTGACAGCTGCCACCCGAAACTCGTACTGCACACCCTTCTTGAGGTTGGTCACCTTCAGCTTCTTGTCTGCAGGAAGGAAAGGAGTGTGTTGGCTCGCTGAGCTGCCCCCCAGCAGGAAAGGAGAGACAACGATGCTGGACCTCACTCTGGGTAGAATTATGGACTGAATCATTCTCAGGAGCTGTAAATGCTGTCATTGACTCCCCTGCCCTTCCCTATCCAAGTGCGTGTGTTCTTCTGGGATGTGTTCATTCAAAATCAAACAGCGCTTGAATCACAGAATCATTTAGGGCGGAAAAGACCTCTGAGATCATCGTGTCCACCCTGTGCCTGATGCCCCCATTGTCCCCCAGCCCAGAGCACTGAGTGCCACGGCCAGCCCTTCCTTGGATAACTCCAGGGGTGGGGACCCCATGACATCCCTGGGCAGCCCCTGCCAAGGTCTGAGCACCTTTTCCAGGAAGAAATTCCTCCTGATGTCCAACGTGACCCTCCCCTGGCACAGCTGGAGGCCGTTCCCTCTCCTCCTGTCCCTTGTTCCCTGGGAGCAGAGCCTGACCTCCCCCGGCTCCCCCCTCCTGTCAGGGAGTTGCAGAGCCAGAAGGTCCCCCCTGAGCCTCCTTTTCTCCAGGATGAGCTCCCCCAGCTCCCTGAGTTCTCCTGCTGATCCTCAGGAGTTCTCTAGACCCTTCCTCAGCTCCCTCAGAGGTTCTCCAGCCCCTTCCCCAGCTCCCTCAGTTCTCCTGCTGCTCCAGCCCCTTCCCCAGCTCCGTTCTCTTCCCAGGACACGCTCCAGCCCCTCCATGTCTCTCTTGAATTAGGTGGTGCAGAACTGGGCCCAGCACTCAGGGCGCAGCCTCAGCAGTGCTGCTGAGAGTTATTAAGTTAGGGATACAGGATGCATCCTGCTTTTCCTCAGGGGATGATCCTAAACCCTTCTATACCTGAGAAGTCCTAACTTGCCCCTAATAGAAGATGCTGCTATAGTCAAAGCACACTCTGGAGCTCAGACACATCACTTGGGTTTCTTTCTATTCCTTGCATTTATAAAGTCCTGTCTGTAGGACTAAGGACAATAGTTCTGCATGTGAAGTGAAAGCTTTAATTCCAGAAACTGGAGACATCAGAGGAGCTACATCCCAGGATGCAGCATGATCTTCTCTGTGCTCTTCTCCAGGTGCCTCCACACAACCTAGAAAAGACCCTAATCCTGCCCCCAGGCTCAGCTGGGTTTAAACCAAGAGCTGGCTTTGCTGTGGCACAGCCAGGAAACCTCAGCTGGGAGAAAAATGGAGTTGAGAGAAAACTCCAGAACACACTAGAGCTGAGAAAAATAGAAGGTAAAACTTCAGACAGGCTAAAATGGCTGCGAGGGGGTGAGTCAGAAGCTCAAGAACTGCAGAGGAAAAACACCAGTGTGAAAAGGTGTGAGATCCCAAGCCATTCCTGAACCCAATTGAACTTTTTTACCTTGTCAAGTGTTCCAGACTGTTCCAGGATTTGGGATACTCACCTTTCACAGGCCCATTGGTGACTGGCAGCCAGGTCATGGTGCCCTTCTTGCGTTTCTGAACGATGTATCCCACGATTTGGGAAGTGCCAGTTTTACGAGGTGCTTTCCAGGATATTGTGACGGTGTCCCTGCTGGCACTGACAATCTCAGGGGGATCTGGGGCACCAGGGGAAGCTGGAAAGACATTGGGGTTCCATTATTAGCAGGTGTATTTTTATTGCAAGATAAAACAGTGTTCTGTGTCATTTCTTCTTCCACTTTCCCCAAGGTATTCCCATGGATGTGCTTTGAAAACCTGGATCCAGCACAGACCTTGTTCCTGAGTTTTGATTTCACAAAAGACCTGCTGTCAGCAGGACTGACAATTCCACTGTCAGCCAATGGAGTGAGGTGTGTCCTTCTTACGTGGTGATATGGTTTGAAGCTGGCTCCCTGCCAAGTCTCCAAACCTTACCACCAGAAGTGCCCCCCCCCACCCCCAACCTCAGGGAGAAAAGGGAGAAAAAAACTAAGAAAAACCTGAAACGAGAGAGAGACAACCAAAGTGAGATATATAAATATATTTACACTTATATACAATTTCACAAGGGAAAGGGAAGGGGGAAGGGAAAAGGAACAAAACTAAAATAAAATATATAGATATCCCAAGACCCAATATCTAACAACTAAAAAGTTAGCAAAGAAGAATAGCTCACTACTCCCCTGGGACAACTGAGAGTCGCTCCGGAACGATCGCCGGCAACCTCTGTCTCCCAAGGTCGACAAGGCCTCACCAGGCCTCGCTCCCCAACACGGCAGACTCAACAGCAGGGAACCTGCACCTCCAAGCCGCCGGAAGGAAAGAGCGAAGGCCTCTCCTCCTCTCTTCTTATAATCTGGCTTACGTAAAAATCGTAGGGAATACTGGGTAAATCTGGACCCTTCCTTGGTTACAAACTGGTCACCAAGGAAGGCCTAGCCCAAACCACCACACGTGGTAGGAACAGTCAGCATCAGTCTTGCTTTTAGTGACAGAAACTGGGACCAGAATGGATTTTTTAACCCTCTGCTAAAGCTTTCAAAATACATAGTCAGTGTAGAAAGAACCAGAATATAGCATTGCTCTCTCTAGTACTGCATTTGTGCTCATGGCTAACCTGTTCTAGTATTTGAACTCATTGAAGGACAAAGAATATATTCAGTTGTTTGGAAACCAGGGGAATGGAGTGGTCATGCTACAAATGCTGCACCTACGGAGACACTGCTTTGCCCAGGAAGCTGAGAAAAGGCCTCACATGTTCCCTTTGTAGCCACACTGGGAAAAATTTCCTTTGATCCGGATGCGTTTTGCATTTCCCCTCTGGAATTGGTTTTCCAACTCAGGATGGAGCATTGCCAAGAAGGCAACTCCTCCTCAGCAGCACCAGAGCCTACAACAAACTGCTGCTCTTGCTGTGCAGCCTCCACAGGTTTGTGTGAAGACCTCACAGCCACCACTAGAGTTTAGATCTGCAGCAACACCCAAAATGCAGTGAGTGTTCTCTGATGTCAGCTTTGACAATGGATTTCCCAACCTGAATTGTGAATTATGAGAAGTTCTCCTCACCTTTGCCAGCTGCCTTCACTTCGCCCGACTCCAGCGCGTCACTCGTCCCCTCCACGTTCACGGCCCTCACCCTGAAGTAGTAGCTTGCGTCTTCTTCCACCTTGTTGGTGGTGAAGGTGGTGCAGCTCCTGGGGGTGTCTCCCAAGGTCTCCCAGTCGTTCTTGCCCGCCTGCTGTCTCTCCACGAGGTACCTCTGCACTGGTTTGCCCCCATCGTCCTTCGGGGGCTGCCACTGGATGGTGATGGCATTGGCAGAGCTCTCCACGATTTTGATGGGTCCTGCTGGTGGTTGTGGCTTGTCTGGAAAGATGGACAGAGATGATGAGTTGGCTCCAGACCCAGATGTGCTCCTGGGTTTGGAGCACACACTGGCTCTTGCTCACCAGCTGTGAGACTGTTCCTGATGGCACAGCTGCAGGATGAGGGCTAGGCACTGAAACTGCCTCTTCCAAATATCCACTCTTCTAACTTTGATGGAAAGGGGGAGCCAGGCCCTTGCTCTCCCTGTTCCCATAAGCACTGCACCAAGTCAGCTTGATAACACAGGAAGAATGTCATTTCTGGTCTCCCAAGAGGGCCCAGACATCAATGGTAGGGCTGAATTTGGCCTTGACACCCCGTTTCAGATTTGCATGTTGAGCACAGTCCCATCTCCCATAGTCTCTCAGTGTTCCAAACTCAGCTGCTGAGGCTGGGAAAAACCAAACCAGACTTGTGCCACCTTATACTAAAGGGCAAGAAGCACATCAGCAATCTTTCCTTGTACCCTGATTTAGTGGCAAAATGCAGTCTTGTTCCTCTTGGAACACCCTGCAGCTCCAAATAAGATTGTCACCAGTGTCAGTGGGTTCCCTGCCTGAGCTCAGCAGTGGATTTATGGGGCTCTTACCTATGACCATGAGCTTTAAGTTGATCTCCAGGACTCCGCTGTCGTTCTTCAGCCTGACCTTGTAATCCCCACAGTCCCTCCTGTCGCAGCTGGGGATGGACAGCGTGGTGTGGGTGTCTGTTTTATCCACACGGATCCTGGTGTCATCTGCCAGCTCCATCTTGTCCTTGAGCCACGTGGCCCTGATGGGCAGACGGCCCTCGAAGGGGATCCTGAGCTTCACTGCCTGCCCGGCCTTGGCCACCGTGGGGACACTGCTCAGGTTCTTGAGGAGAACTTTGTCAACCTGTGGAGGGTCTGACCAGGCGATACAAAAAGTCATTAAAAACCACAATTCAGAGAGGACAAGGCTCGGAGGGAAGGGCTCAGGACGCTGCCAGGAACTCTGAGGATCTCACAACACTTGGACCTTCACTGGTTTTGTGCTCAGGGATTCACAAACTTGTGCTTTGCTACGGGATAATTATCACGAGGTTTTGTGGTGTCACAAAAACCTTCCACCGGAGAAGGTTTTTCTCTTTAGCAACACACTAAACACAAAGAATGAAGAACTGCTCTGATAAAGTGTTCTGTGCACCCCAAAATCTCTGAGTTACCAACAGGATCTATGTGGGAAGGCTCCCTAGTTAAATTTGTGAATACAAAATGCACCAACCTGTACAAAAACCATCTCTCAGTTATCTTGGAATTCTTATAACAAAGTTATCTCCATAACCAACTACTGGTCTCTGATAAAACATATTACATTTAAAGCCCATCAAAGCTCACGTCCTGCATTGGTGGTTTGAACAGACTCACCTTCAACAAAAATTGAAGCCTCAGTTTTCACATCTCCACCTTCAAACCTGTATTTCCCAGCATGAATGTCTTCAGCTTTGTTAATAATTAGTTTGTGGACTAGACCTTTCTTTTCAAACACAACTCCTTGCATGCTTGTCAACTACAAGGCAAAAGACAGAGACCCATGCTTTGAGAAAAAAAGGGGAAAAAGCAATCCCAACTGAAACTGAGATAAGCATTATCAACATAACCCCCACAAAGACTTGATTTTTTTCAAAGATCAATTAAAATAAATGTCAGATCAACCTCCAAGCTCTCTCTTTCTGTTCTTAATGACAAAACTTTTGATCAATGCTTGAGTCTGACACCTCAGAAGTCCTACAATATCATCTGGATCCCACAGCTGGAATCACTCTTCAGCGTTCTTTAGGAACATAGAATAAAGGATATAGAATATATCTATAGGATATGGATATGTGGTGGTGGTGATGGGTTCAAGGTTGGAGTTGATGGTCTTAGAGGTCTTTTCCAACCTAAACAACCCTATAATTCTGTATGATGTCTGTGCTTGACCTCAAGCACTAATTTGAATGAACACTCTCCACGATATCCCCGCCTGAAAGATCCTTTGAGGATTCTTCCCTTGCTTTTGGCATTTTTCTCTCATTCACCCAGGAAAAGAAGGGTTGCATTGCAAGCAAGTGACCACATCATCTCCATCCTTGAAAAAGAATGGAAAACACAAAGCTGGATGTTGTCAAAAAGAATGGGAATGTCTGGTAGCAGGAAGGGAGGGAAATCTTCCTGGGTTTCTATCAGGAAGCAGATGCCCCCATCCCTGTAAGTGTTGGACGGGGCTGGGAGCAGCCTGGGCTAGTGGAAGGAGTCCCTGCCCCTGGCAGGGGGTGGGAACAAGATGGTCTTTGAGGTCCCTTCCAACCGTCCTGGAATTCTGTGAGTCTGTGAATCTTTCCAGGGCCACGCTCTGGCTCAGCAGAGGGCAGAGGGAAGGACACCTTGGCACGGCACTTAGGGAGCGAAGGCAGAGAGCAGAGCATTGCTGACCAAAGGAAACAGTGAGTGGAAGGACACCCACCTTCAGCCCGTCTTTAAACCAGGTTCCTGTCACGTCATCTTTGCTGACGGTGCAGGAGAGCTCGGCTGGTTCCCCCTTCACCACCCGGACTGTGGCCAGCTGCTTGTTGAGGTAACACCGAGGGACTGAACAGTCAGGGGGGAAAATGGGGAGAACATGGACATGGACGTGCATGGGAAGAGAAAAGAGAGCTTTTTAAAACATGTATCCTGTGGTCATGACAGGCTTTTGTGCCCCACACTGTGACCACCTGGGTACCCTCAGAAGGGACGTGCCAGCCTGGCCTGTTCATGGTACAGTCCCACCATCAACCCCCAGGCAACAGAGTCATCACAAATCACACTGTTCAGCTACGGATTTGCTGCTTTATGTCTGTGCTGATGGTCTTGGCTCCCTCTACAGCCAGTGGGGAAAAACAGGCTGTTCCAGGGTGTGGATATCCTGCTTCACCATCCTCTTCCTCTGCACTGACCAGACAGGGGGCTGCCATGGAGGTTCCCCCAAACAGCCCCGGGAATATTGTTCTCCACCCCCATATTCCTCTTTCCCTTTCCAAGTTCTTCTCCATTAACAACCTCATCCCCTCTCTAATAAACACCCCTTGAACTCCAGTTTTGTTTTACTTCCTTATTCATATTTTGTTTGCCTTGATAGTTCCTAACTTGTCAGCAATCCCATTAGGTGAATATTCCCCTTTGGTTATACATTTGAAATTCCTCATTTCTACAATTTTCACATCATCATCTTGCTAGTGGAGCCACAGGTCTTACTCAAACAGCTACAAACACATTACTCCCCTTTTACTATATGAGCACCTTATTATTTCTGATGCTACAAGACAAAAGAGCTCTTTACATTATATAATCCAGTATAAGCAGGCACTTTACATTAGGCCTGACCAAATAGAACCAAATAGAAGCAAAGAATTATCCCCAGAACTTGGAAAACCACAGTTCTTTGCACTAGACGTTAGAAAAAATAAGTTTTAAATTAGCAACAAATTTTAAAATACAATATCAAAGAAACACAATGATATTCCTTGAAACTTTATGGGAATTGGTCGGTTCCACGTGGATGTGAAACGTATTTGAATGAACAGATGAGACCTGATCTAGATCATTTAAGCAAAGATCATTTAAATATTGAAGGCAATTTGATCAGAGCAAGTCGTGTAAGATAAACAGCAAATCAGTGGGAGAATTAGGAAGGGATCACAACCAAATTTCTACACAGAGCTCTGTTTGTCTCACCCATAAAATTCCACTTCTTTGCAGGATCAGGAATGTGAGTGTCCAAATGCAAAGCCCAGGAGCCACCAATGAGCCACTGCACCACCACGTACCTTTGAGATCATCCAGGCAGGACCGTCTCTTCTGGGCTGTACTTTCTGTGTTGGTCGGGAGATCCTTTGCTTTAACATCCAGGTCAGGTTCCTCGTTTCTCTTGCTTGCTGGGGCAAGCCCACCAAAAAGAGCTGACATCTGGTCATGACTGGGTGGACCTTGACCAAAACCACCTGAACTGCTCCCATCAACAGGTCTGTTCCAGGATTTGCTCCCTGCCCCTCCAAAGGCGGAATCTCTGCCATAAAGGGAGCCCAACTGTCCTAAATCTCTGCCCTCACCCCAGACATCTCCTTGACCTGACAGTGACCCTCTGTCACCAAGTGAACCTTGGTTCCCTGATCCTCTGCCATCACTGGCAATGCCCTTTCCATATTCACCACCTGGTCCACCACCACCTCCCACACCTCCTTTACCAAGGAATGAATCCCTTCCATCCCCTCCCAACCTCCCACCAGCTCCTGCACCAGCCCAGGCTCCAGCTGATCCCACATCCTCGCCATAGGGAGATCCAGGGCCCCACACTGCAGAGCCACCCACACCCCCCCCTTCCACGGAAAAGTTCTCTCCTCCTGCTCCCCCTGGATATCCCGGAGCTCTGCCCAGCCCACCGTCCCTGCCACGCTGAGATCCCATCACTCCCTCACCTCCAAAGGGAAAAGGAGCAGCTCCTGCCACAGCCCCAGCTGGGAGACCATCCATTCCATAGGGAGGCACAACTCCTGCACCACCAGCAACACCAACACCAGCCCCAGCTGGGACACCATCCTTCCCATAGGGAGACACAACACCAGCCCCAGCTGGGACACCATCCTTCCCATAGGGAGACACAACACCAGCCCCAGCTGGGACACCATCCTT